ATTATGATAGTGTTTTCAATAAGGCCATTCCAAGTTTTTTCTATGTTTAGCGTCCGCGTGCGCCTTGGTTTTTGACACCCCATATGAGAAAAAACACACAACAACAGGAGTCCTGAAATTGATAAATTTAGTCGAAATTTTTGAATTTTGTAAATTTCTCCAAATAATTCTGTACAGTAAGTTATATTGGGTGTATTGTAAGCATTTAATCCGTTGTTTTTGCTTAAGAATAGATATTTCGTCTATTAAAGCAGCTTAGTTAGATCAAATCAATTGAGGGACGTCATTTTTATGACTTTTAAGCTTGTGTTTTATATTTTGACTTGTGTGTTTCTTGCGAATAGGAAGGTAGGTTTTTGAAAGATGAGTGGACGTTAAACAGAGAAAAAACTTGGAATGGTCTAAATTGAAAATCAATTTGTCAAGATAACGTTATTTTCTTATTTGTAAATGTAATGTACGATGGGTGATATTCATCTGTTCCTGACGCAACCTTAAACTTGTATATTATTATTACCAGAAAAGGATCAGAAAACACAAAAATTGCTGTCAATAATTTAAAAATGCAAGTCTGATTCTTTTTTTTTTTTCTTTAACTTAAAGTCGTTTGCTCCCACCAGCTAAGATCCTAGAATTTATACCAGTAACATCATAGAAATGACTGTAACGAGGCTGTTAACCTCGCGGATCCAACCAAATGCCTTTCTATCGTGTCTTCAAACAAAGGAAAGTGTCTTTACTACTGGATAAGCATACGCTGGTTCCAAACATGTCGGAACATTTTATTTTCCTGTTATTCTGAGACAATAGTTGTAAAATTCTTTATCTTCAGCATACGGTCATAATGGGAGAATAAGGTGGAATAAGATTAAAATTTCATGTCGAAAAACAAGAAGGAAGGAACAATAGATGCGCTGAATTGTGATATTAAGACACAATAAAGGATAGATGCGAATTAATAACCGGAATCGGCCGCGGAAATACCAAACAAGGCAGGGCGGAAGTGAGCCCCAACCTGACCATTGTAAAAATCCAATCAAAAACCTTATGATCCTCTGAGCACCATGTACCCGGGACTGTTTTAAAATTAATACAAAGGATTAACACCGCCAGCCTTTTTTTCCTAGAAATAAATTCATGGTTCCTTGAGACTTATGTGTATGTAGTCGTAATACAGACAACAGTCAAGTTTTAATAAAGGCCAGCACCTACTTATGATTGTTTGAATTCATAGATGAAGTGTTTTTACAGTGTAAATGAAGGAAATTAAAAGTTCTTCTTTCCAAATTCATTTGTTTTGAACACATTTTATTGAACGAGTCAAATGGATTGGAAACAAGTTCTTGCAACTTACAAGTTCCTCTCCATAAATATAACAATATGTCATGCAAATAATACATTAAAATATAATATTTATAATATTTTCAAGTGATGCAAGTTAATTACAAATCAATTTAAAATCTACATGTTTCAGTAATAAATCTATGGACAGCAGCAAAAATATTAACATTAGTTGATACAGGCAAATCTCTATCACCCCATAATAGTAGGTTAGTTCACTTCGTTATTAAGTACGAGTCTGTCTTCAAGTGAGCAAAATTATCTTCTCGGAATTTGTTAAGAAACATTCTATTTTATTTTTGTTTCAGAACAATTATAGTACAACAGTCTTAATAAATCTTTAAAATTTTAACCAGTGTATGCAATTTTAAGGTATTGCATATATATATATATATATATATATATATATATATATATATATATATATATATATATATATATATATATATATATATATATATATCTGAAAGAATTTTTTAGATAAAATCTCCCAATGGAAGGTTGATCCAAAACATGATATTCTAATACCTCTGGCGATAACATTTGGATATTATGCTAAAATTAACTTCTCGTACATGATAAAATAATGAACGACGTGGCATATAATATTATTTTGGGGTGCAACGAACAGTCTAATGAACTTTTAAGGCAAAATTCAAAATAGTAACACCAGTATTTGTTCAAAATTTTGTCCAAAACTGTCTATTATTTAAGAATAAATATTTTTTGAAACCTTTTCTTAATTCTTATTTTAAAAAAATGAAAATCTAATTTTATATTATGAACTTTTATACTACGTGTAAAGCATTTTCGCTATTGAAACTATCCCCCTTTCGTCTTCCGTCACCGGTTTTTAACCGTGCGGAGAGACTAGGAAGGGTGACGTACCCCCCAAGTCAGCATTTTCTACAGTGTGTACCATCGAATCGGTCCTTGTACATACCTATACATCCATTTTGTTCTTTAAAAAATGAATTGTCATTACACCCAATACACGGGGATCAAAGTTCCGACGGTCCTGCCTTCTCCGTTTGAAATAAAAAGTTTCCATTTGTCATAAAGGGCTTGAAGGGAGTGGGTATGTTTGTAACATTGCTCCAGACAAAATGGAACGATGAATTGAGATATATATACATGTACATTTTTACATATTATATTTACTGCAACTACAGGCTTTGATGTGAGAACATTTTTTTAATTTTTAGAAATTAAATCCATAGACAACTTTTCATTTATAATCACATAAAAGTTTTATTTCTTATTTTCTAATTTAAAATAAATATATTTATAACATACATGCATATGCTTCAATTTTTCAACAAAAAAAAATATCGCTTTGTGACAACTTTCATTTAGACTTAGTTAACCTCTGATTCATTTTACTTTCTTAAAAAAACTAATAAATGACATGTAACGAAAATGAATCTTAACCAACGACCCCTTCAATAAAATGAATATCAGAATATGACGTTTGATAAATTCGTAAAAAGTGAACGATGGACATTCATCTATCATTTTCTTTTATGAATCTGTCCCGCGCGCACTCTGGACAATGCGGCTTAATGTCGCCATTTTCATTAGATGTCATAATTTATATTTTGCCAAAAATATGATAATTATGATGAAATGGGCAGGTGTGTTAATTTCCTTCACAATAAAAAGAAAAACAAATCAAAAACAAAGACAATTACATGCTGGCCTTTCAAAAACTCCACTCGATCATTTTCATATGAAAGCAATATGGTTAAAGTTTAATGCTTTTAAAAAGATGGAGATTTAATCTTAAAATCTTCATGTTGTTTTCCAACAATATACAAATTATGCGTAAAATTGCCGTTCTTTCATATCTTTTATTAATATCCGCCTACACGGGAATTAATACTTTGCACTGAAACTAAAGCCAGTCCCTGGTTTAATTTAGCAGGTTTTGTTTAATAATCTGAAGACTTTTTTGGAATTTGAAATTTTACACCCCACAAAAAGGCTAAGCAAGCAGAGTCCCCGTGTGGTACATATCTATCATTTTCCGTCATAAACGGTACTTTTCTCTACGCAAATCACGATCCATTAATTCACAATGACATAAAATAAAAGAAAAAAAGATGATGTCAAATATAAAATATCCTCAATCAAAGCAATTATACAATCACAAATGGCGCGAATCTCAGGTGTGAGATCTCAAAACAGAAAAAGTTAATCAATGCATTATCAAACTGACAAAACCACAGGAATCAAGTTACTAAAAGACTCACTGGTTAATAATCTGTAAATATGGAGTTATTCAAATTTAACAGTGGTTGAAAATCCGGTCGAAGAAATATAAATTTTCCATCTCTATTGTTTGAATTAGCTGATAATGTGTTTGGTTATGCGATATCGGTTTTTAATTAACGTTTGTTTATTTTCGGGTGTTTTGTGTTTTAAGGCAAAAGGAGATCATTATTCATATAAAGTGTTTTAGAAAATGGTGGGAAAGCAAAAATGATGTGCTTCACAGTGTAAAGCGCATTAAAAAGAGAAAACTCGGACCATTGTAAGATGTGAGCAGCCGCCGGGGTGTTCATTCATGGAAGTCCCGGTAATAATATTTGTATTGTTCTATACAGCTCTACCTAAACTGATTTGTTTTCAAGCAATTCCTCTCTTTAAATCTCCCCAGATTATGCCGATGCATTATTTTTAAAAAGATTTTGATATTCATTTGAAATTATCCATTAACATGACAAAAAGAAGAGTTAAAGCCGCGACCAAAGGCCCACTTCGGTTATTGACAAGCTTAATGTATTTGTGGAGTGATCGTTTTCTTAGACAAAAATTCTAAGGTGAATATGCAGTATTTTATAATATCCCATTTTAACCTCTATTCAATCAGAATGGAGTATGTGAAAAAAGGAGATTACCATATAAATATGATATCGCTAGATATTTTTATGATAATAAAAAAATGCATTTCATTCCCTGCAATCATAACCCATGACAGGTGACTAGTATTCATTTTGGTTCATTTTAATGTAAATTAAAAAAAAATCCATATATTTTTTTATATACCATAATATTGTAAATCCCAATACTGCAATAAAATAACACTAAGTTGTAATGAACGAATTCATGCCCAATATTTGACACATGACGGTTTTAATTTTTTATAACAATTTAAGAATGAAATTTCATTACTACACTTTGCATTTATATTCCAATATTAATTTCTCAGAATATATACCTCCCAAGGAGAGAACATACGTTTAAGCCTCTTTATCCCCCCCCCTCCATTTTCAATATATTATATTTATGTACAGATCCATCTCTTTCTAACCCATTTTACAGCTTCTTTAAAGACATGTTTGCTAGAGAAAAATCAAGATATTCAAAATATGAATTGGACTTTGGTTTATTCTTTTTATGGTCTTGAGGTTTGCTCTCTGGTTTCTTAACATTAATGTTTGGTTTCAATGAAGGTTGATTTCCAATAATCCACTGTTTTAAGTTCTAACTTTGTATTGTAACCTATTTTTTTTAAAATTAAAATGTCTTTTCTTGAACTCTTCTAAAATAGACATACTCCACACTCAAGCTATAATGATTACTCCAAAAAGCACTCAAGCATTTTTATTTTTTTTGATTTATATAATCAATTAACTTTGAATTATACATTTTTCCTCTTTGACATTTCATAAAAAAACAATAAGAGAATCTTCTTTGTCAATACAATTACATGTAAATTGTATAATAAAAGATGTAGTATATTTATTCATTTTCCTTTTTAAATGTTAATTGTATTTTGTGTCTTCTATTCACAAACTTAGACACAAAATTAATTTTCTGTCCATTTGCTTTGAAGGTGTTACTTATCCCAATTAACATACTATTTCTGCACTCCTTTACAGAAGAGTTCTGACATGGGTACATGGGATATGCTTTTTAGTTTTATTAAATTTGGTTTCTAATGACAGTATTTTACAATGTATGCTAAAGGGACTGGTAGTTGTCCACACACTTAATTCTGGACAGCATCACTGATCCTGTTTTTCAAACACTCTCTTGAAATTTAAGTTGATTTCCATTTCTTCAGACTATTTCAAATCTTCAAAGGTATTCAATTGTCTTCAAAAACAGTGTGCATGTATTCAAAAACTTATGTCAATTATTTTGCTATTTGATATTGTCTTATTAGTGCTAGCTGGACTTGGTCTTTTTAGGTAGGGGTTCTGTTGGCTGGTTTTGGGCTTGCTTGATGCGATCTTCTTTTTTCTGGAGGTAAATAGAGTAGTTATCTGGTGTCTCCTTCTTCTTAAAATCCAAAGACAAGTCTGGGGCCATTTCTGATGCTGAAGGAAAAACACGATTTTGTTCATTGAAACTTTCCGATTCTTTAATTCTTATTGTCTTAAACTCCATTTAAAGAATATAAAAACCCAAACATTTAACTGTATTATCTATATTCTTGTACTCAGTGAACTTCATCAACATTTGATTACCAATAAATTGACTATTTCCGTTATAAAAGCCTATAATATTTTTCAAAATATATATACAGCTTTATGGGGAAAATTTGAACCCCTGAGCTGAAATTGATATAAAATTTTCTCTGTTATCAATTTATCAGAGGAATATAAAGTTTGACAAACCTTTGAAAAATGCCCAGTCTTTATTGAACATGTCTAACACCTTGTTTTCTGCACAAGGATGAGCTGAATGTAGCTGTTCCACCTTAAACAAACAATGAATCCATGATTAATTGGCTTCTACTGTTAGGGGTCCCCGAGTTAAAAGTTTATTAAATTGCCCATGTGTTGTTGACAAAGATCTGCTCATCAACTCCTAAAGCCAGCCTGACACTAGTTGTACCTAAATACTTCAATGAAAAATGGTTGGTAGAGCTACATATGTACTTTAATTAGAGAAACAGCTTGTAATTGTAGATTTAAAAGCAGTGGATAAGAGACTGAATGGTGAAAATATTGGCCTCTTTTTTGTCATTAATACTTGTGTATCAAACAATGCTAAAAACTCAGGTATGAATTTGGGATATATTTAGAAAATGGACTCAGAAATTATGATTTTTTTCTATTCTATTTTTAAAATAAATTCTTGGAAAAATGCTATAAAAAAGAATTTTAAAAATCACATTATTCCAAATGGTTTAGTCCATCAATGCCTCAATTCTGCAGATTAAGTAAAAAATATGCTAATGAGGATTTATATATCCATTCAAAGAACCCAGAAAACAAATTAAATTAAGTTCTTCTTACATTTTAAGTTATACATGCAACCACTCTAGCAATGATGTGTTTTTTGCAGCTCTGTCTCAAATGATAGCACTTTATACAAAGATTGATCAAAAATCAAACACAAAATATTCTAACATTGAGAGCAGGAATTTATTGAGTAGGTGCACACAAACAAAGAGTGTGTAAATACAGGATTAATCTATAAGAAATTTGTAACTCTTAGAATATATGATGCAATAAAAAATTCTACATTGAGAGGAAAATCTTTACTGTATGTGCGATATTTCTTAGAATGACTTAACCAACTGCCATCTCAGATTAGAAAAGTGCTATGACCTTACCTTTAATTGACCAGCCTGTGACCTTTGACATGTGTAGACCCGTACAGTGTCACCTTCCTGTTTCTGTAGCAACCAGAGTTGACCTTTACAGTCAAAGGTCAAGTCCCACACGGAGCTGGTGAGATGTAAATCCTGAAGATGATGTAACACCCCAGCATCCACCGAGTATAACTGTACAATGGGGGAACTGTATATCAGAAAGTGAAAGAATAAACATCAAAATAAGATGATAAAATCATATGAGCTTTTCCCAATTTATTAAAGTTTAATATGATTTTAAAGACAGAGAATAAAAAATATGTAACTTACAGATGATTATTGATAAAAAAAAATAAATAAATAACATTCATATTCATAAATATAGTACATGCTTTCGAAATCCAAACACAATGATCACAACTTGGAAATATGTGATTTCATTTAATGAGAGAGGTTTTCAGTGTGGAGAAATGAATCTGATAGCATATTTAACAAATACACTTTTCTCCATTTTCTATCATTTAATCTTACAAAGTCAATGTCAAGGACTTGCTTTACTTACTTAAAGAAAATCACAGATAACAACTTGAGGTTCTTTTCCAAAACTAATTTCTTAATTGCAAGAGTTGTTTCCCCTCTGGAACAAAATGTTTGAGAAAGCACTTGACCATCCATATTCCATACTACCAAGCTACCATCCTGTAAAATAAAATTAGCCTACTGAGTACAATTCAGTTTCTTACTTTTGGTAAATATGCTCTATTTCAAGGTGAAATTTATCGTCATTATCAATTTTTTTTTTTTCAATATCAGCAGCATTTTTAATTTTTCTTCTTTTTTTTTTTAAATAACAAACTTTATTTTGCTGTCAGAGAAACGAGCTATAATGATAATTCTGCATATACGGGTAATTAAACCTCTGTGAGCAATACAAGTAATATTTTATCAGAAGTAAGGTCTCTGTGATTAAGAATATGTCATGAATACATGCACAGATCTGAGAGGGAATGGTCAGAGTTTGGGGGTTTGAAGACCCCCCTCCTATGGGGATTTCAAAGTTAAATAACTTATATAGTAAAGTAACCAAACTGACTTTAGACACCCTTAGAGAACAAAGGTCCCTGGTAACTAAAGAGAATTTTATACACTGTACATTATATTATATGATGAAAAGTAACTTGTACATCCAAACCCATTCCAGTGACCCCACTCCACCATGTGAAATAGGATTTAGAGTTTAGAAAAATTGTTTCCATTTACAATTTATTGATATTTTGCTTTCAGTGCCTGTCAGATTTCTTTTTAGTTGGTGTGGACACCCCACCAACACCACCAACCTGAGAACTTATTCTAGATGTCATGCGTGTGATATTTAAAATGAAAGAAAAAGGATAATTTAACATTCACATGTTTGTAAATTTACTTCAACCAGAGCCTGAAATGGGTTTTCTAACACAAATATGAAGAACAATGATGGTTTAATATTTCTGTCACTGACGTACATGAAGTAAATAATAATATCACAATTTAACAGAATTTCTGAACAAATACTGCAGGCCATTTTCAATATTTTTTGTAAATTCTATTTAGATTCAGCAAGTAGCGTAATTTCTAAAATATTATTTTCAAATTCCATGAAAAGTACAATTTAACTCAATACAGTATCTTTTTTTTTACCTGTAAAGTAAAAATAAAAAATACAGGATATCATTTCATCTTCCATTTATGAAAATAAATCCTGCAATTATTTCTATTATTAAAAAAAAGAAAAATACAATTCAAATTTCTGTTTGCATAAAACCTGATTTATTAGGCAATATAGTTTTCAGGTAACATAAGAAATTAATTGGTTAAGCAAAATGCATGTTACTCGATAGTTTGACCCTGCCCTGAATTTGAACAAAAATTCTATGAAGCTTATCTTTCCTTCAATCTGAAACACACTTTTCTCCAATTAGTCTTCTCCAATTTCAGCCAACTCTAATCACTCAAAAAAATATATTGTTGTGTAAATTAATAGATGCAATTAATATGAAAGCAGACCTAGTTGCATTATGTGACAAAACCCCAAATACCGCTAATTTGTTCTAATCGTAGGAGTCATTCATAGGTTTGACCACAATGAGCGGATCACCACGGCGATACATTAGTGGAATAATGCGGCGAGATGTTGCCAGCGTTTATCAGAAGGAAACTCTATACAGCTGATGTGACACTGCACATTGTGTCCGGGATTTGGCAGACAATTAGTTTGGCCATACAATTCTGTGTTTATACAACTCAAGGAAAATACTCTTATCTAGATCCATACCAGGCAGCATCTGGACCCATGACAGGGTCTATTACCCTTCCTTTATATATAAACAACTCTAGGCAAAGTCTTCAACTTTTAAAAAAAAAATTAAACAATGTAGAATTTAATTTTCCAAATGGAGTCTTTGAGATAGCATATCTCTTGCTCAAAGTTGTATACTTCTTCACTTAAAAAATAAACAAGGTTAGGACTTGTTTTTGCCAAGACTTCTTAGAACATTAATTAAACCAAAATAAACAGAACCTAATCAATTTGCTTTGAACAAAAAAATTTCTTTTTTAACAACATATTTCCACATTAGTTTTGAAAGTAAAAAGACCTTATACTTATTTTTTTCTCCAAGACTGTATAATATTCATTATATTAAGTAGTCATAGGTATAAGATATCCATCCTTTTTTTTAAGTACCTGGTACTTAGAAATAATTTAATTTGATGATAAACCACATTAGTACAAACAATTTCTTATGTAATTATAGTTGAATATGTTTAAAAATTGATCTGAATTTTTCATTTACCAGGAAAAAAGAATTAAACAGACCATTAACAAATCAAATTTTAAAATGTGCATCTGTGAGCTCAAATTGTCACACTGTCAAGAAAAAAAATAGTACATGTCGGACCGCATGAGGATAAACATCTGTTTTCGTATTTCATAAACAGGCTAATTTTGTAACAATACATTTCTTGGCCAATGATTAGGATCTTGCCTACAGCATCACCCTCGGATATAATTCTAGATATTAAATTATCTGATGCAGTGGGCGGATGAAAATTAAATTATTGTTTGGGAGATAAAAAACATGATGAGCACCAATGCACTGCATTGTGCAGCCAGTGCAACATATTGCTTGTGAGGGACAATACAACTGTAATATGAGCAGTAGACAAAAAAGTCCCTTTGGTAAAATAAACAGAACCCCTGTATCACAAATTCTTATGATTGATTATTCTCCCCTCGTAAGCCACAGTGTGAATGCGGCTACCTTACAATGTGCGACATTTCTATAGCCACATAGAGTATCCCCACTACCACAGCTAGTTAAAAAATTAATCTTTGACCGCTAAGTTTTTGTTGACAAGAGAGTGTGATTTTTATAATCTGTTCTCCATACTGTATTAGGTTATAAGCTTGTATCTAATACCCCCTCTCTCCGTCCCTGTGTAACTCCCATAGAGATTCAAATCTGTTTTTATACACAATACTTGACTCTAAATTCAAATTGTTTTTTATCAGACACTGTAAAAAAAATGGTAATAAGGAACAATTCACAAGTATCAGGCACTTAAACCATACAACACATGAAGTACTTGGAGGAGTCCTTTAGTTATCAAATGAATCAACAAAGTCCACGTGAAAGATACCAGGGTTTGAATCCCTAAACAATTTACTTTTTTTCTTCCATTTGAATGGTGCTGTGCAACCCTTCTCCCCCCCCCTTCCCTTTTTGAAGACCTCAAACAAGGCAACAAAAGGGTCAGTATCATATTTTATCGCCAGGGACAAATATTTTTAAGAATCAAAGTAAACTCTGTAGTGTTGATGGTAACCAGCAGCTTAGTGGAACATCAGTATCTACGAAATGTGGAGGGATCAGAGTTTGAATCTTGGCCCATTGCTACATCTTTCTGCTTTTAGTAAAACCTTAATGAATGACCAATAAATCAATGGTAAAGGGACTTTAAGTACCTACCCCACTTCCTGATATGATGCTATCCTGGTCTTCATTATACACAAGGCTTGATACATACCTAGAAAGAGAATGTTAATCATATTTATCATTGTTGAAAACTTCACAATTTACTTTTAAAAGTTCTAACATTCTTACAAGGATATTATCATTCCATTTTTATTTCCCCATTCTTGGCTTCAAAAGCCAAATTTAAAATTGGCAAATCTATCAGAATTACTTTTATTCACCTACGATAGAGTTGAAGGAATACAGTAATGTACTTGTGTGTGCTGTCCTTTATTGGAAACAAAAGTGACATAATTTGCATTGAAACTTATGTCTATAATGCTGTCTTAATTAATAGATATGCTCTTTGCTTGATGCTCCACTTTGTGGTGCACTGTGGGGTGCCTGTTTAAGGTGTCTGCACGGACAGTTTCAAATGGGGAATTATTGTTCTTTAATAGTTTATTGTAAAAAGGGCAAAAATAGCACATAGCAAAAATAGTTCTAACAGTTGAATCCACACTTTTCAAAAGTTATGTCCCTTGGCCGACATCTTTGGGGAAAAACACATAGAATCCTCACTACTTACTGTAGACTTTATACTTTTCTTGTTTGTAACTTTGTCATCGGACTGGAAAAATTATGTGCATCCTGCATAATGATTACCCCAAGCTGGGGCTACCCATTTATTGAAAGAAAAAAAAATTAAACACAGTGGATTTATCAGAGCATGCCCAAATGTTTAGTAGCATAAAGAGGAGAAATGTCACTTCTTTCCCTTTTGACCTTTTGGTTGACCCTGCAAAGGGACATAACTATTGCTAGGTGTGGATTGGACTATTTTTATAAACTTACTCTGTGTGGTGAAGACAAAAACTGTGGACATTATAACTGTTGGGGTAGTTGCTGATCCTGACTTTGTTGTCTCTGTCTGCAGTCACTACATATTTATCTCTCTTTGTTGTCAACTGAAAATAAACAGAAAGGTAATTTTTTACACATACTTAAACCCTTAACTGCAGTTTCAGACTTTCTGGGAGTCAGACCAGAATACAATTTTATTATATAGGGAAAGTTACAATGCATCAGGCACAAACATTGCTATGACTATTTTTTTTTGTTCTTTTAAAAAGCTTAAAAAATTCAATGATACCAGTTGTCATTATCATGTTGTGATAAAAATACCACAATATTTAAATGTCATTGAAGTGATGTCATAGTTGACATCATCAAAGGCATTTTACCAGAATTTTTATAATTTTGCAAATTTTTAGAGTTGTCTCTCTTTCATTAGCCTTCAAGGAATGAGTCTGTTTTGGCAGAATTTTGTTAATAATTGAATGATCTCATAACATAGATTTTTCAAAAAATCTATATACTTCAAGACTATTGCAACTACACACCCTCTTCTCCATCACATGAATTCTATTAAAATGAATTTTTCAATAGGTCTACAGAAAGCTTGACAATTGAAAGTAATATCTGAGATTAGATTTAGGTTGAAATAATTGATTGATGTAAGGACAGGGACATTTTATGCATATGAAAAACTTAGCTAGCTCTCTCCATACAGGTTTAGGTTCATGAATTTCCAGCTATAACCTCCTGTTTCAGGTTTTATCCAGGAAAACAAGAGGCCCTTGGGCCCAATCACTCACCTGAATAGCTTTGACCATGCTGTTCTTTACTAGATTTCCCACTTGTAATACCTTTTGTGACCCCACCCTACCCCAAGGGCCATAATTTGGACAATTTAAAATCTACACTATCCAATGATGCTTTCACATAAGTTACAGCTTTATTGGCTCAGTAGTTCCCGAGAAAAATTCTTTTTAAAGATATTTCCTATAAATTTCAATGCAAAACTTGATTCCAAACTGTGGACCCGCCCTACCCCTGGGGGTCATGATTTAAACAATTTAGAATCTACACTACCACAGGATGCTCCACATAAGTTTCAGCTTTTCTGGCCCAGTGGTTCTAATCAAAAGAAGATTTTTAAAGATTTTTCCTAAATATCTTAATGTAAAACTTGGTTCCTCTATTGTGGCCCCGCCCTACCCAAGGGTCATGATTTGAACAATTTAGAATTTACACTACCCCAGGATGCTTCCACATAAGTTTCAGCTTTTCTGGCCTAGTGGTTCTTGAGAAGAAGATTTTTTAATGACCCCACCCTATTTTTGTCTTTTCTTTATTATCTCCCCTTGTGAAGGGACTTGGCCCTTCATTTTTATAATTTGAATTCCCTTTCACCCAAAGATGCTTTGTACTAAGTTTGGTTAAAATTGGCCCTGTGGTTCTTGAGAAGAAGTTGAAAATGTGAAAAGATTTCAGACAGACAGACGACAAAATGTGATCAGAAAAGCTCACTTGAGCCTTTGGCTCAGGTGAGCTAAAAAAAACCCATGAAATCACCAAGCTTACACAACAACCAGCGAAATTCAATTTTATAGTTTTGTTAAGAGCAGTATTTGCTGTCGTAGTTTGTTTTTTTTTTTGTTTTTTTTTTATGTGTCAGTAATTAAGAGAACTCGCAGGTGACTTTGCTGTTTCAACTCTCTGAAATGAAGTTATATTAATTGAAGGATCTGTTGATTTGGACAATGAACAAGACAATCTAAAGTATTCATTTCCTTTTTTATACTATAAATTAAACTTTCAGAAATAAAGCACACATTTATTTTTTTTTATTGAAAGTATGGTCAAAAACAGCATTTCTGTCAAATATAAATAGCCTCAGTATTTGTTAATTACAAAGTTATGGATACCAAAAGAATATATGACTATGACCTTGACCTTTCTATTTTATTATTATTTTTTTTTTGTTCTGCTTGTATTACAGCAAAACTCGTTTAGTACGAATACCGACATTGCGAATTTACGGTTATAGCGAAGTCATCTTGGATCCCCAGCTAATAAAATTGAATGACTTTCTTATAAGATTATAACGAATTACAGATATAGCGAAGTAATTTCTCAGGTCCCAGTGACTTCGTTATAAACGAGTTTTACTGTATTTCTACATTTACAAAATTATGGACAACATATTATACATTTTTATGCTTTCATTCATTTGGCGGTGTCCAAGTGGGTTTGTTTTAGATAATGACCCCCTCCCCCCCCCTAAAAAAAAACCCCATAATTGCCAACTTTACTAAAACACAAAACATTCTATAAATTTCACATAAAAATGCTATTCCTCCTAAACAAAAACAGCTTTTGTCATATCAAAGATAGAGAGAATTATCATGTATCTTTCCTATCTTACTCATAGTGTAGTCTGTTTTGTACTAAATATTATTGAAGTTTCTATTTTTAGTAATCATGGTGATACCTTTCATCAAAATCAAAAATAAATGTAATTAATGTTTGTGTAGACTACTGTGTAAAGGTTTCATTGCTATTTCAAATGTACTTCTATGCAGTCTTACGATTAAACCAAAAGTAACACATGCTCTGTTTCTATTTTCAATCTGTGAAAAATGTTTGAAAATATAGTGTTGTCAAATCGGTTGAAAGTCAGAATCGATATTAATCGGTTGACCCTAACCAACTGATCATCGGCCAATAATCGAATCGGTAACCCTTTGCATAAAATAGGCATTATATTACATATAAAATTTAGAGTTTTATTTTTAAATAATGTAAATAAAGGTGCATTGTACAGATTGAAATTCTAAAAACAGTTTATATGCAGTTTGATTAATACTTTCAGTAATACAGATTTTTGCATGATTAGGAATTACTTAAATGGCCTGGGAAACATAAGCATTGACAGATCAGGTTTTAATTTACATGATCATCTAAAATACGAGCGTATATATGGAATTAATTTTTTAAACTGTTATATTTTAGGCATTTAATATTGCAAATCCTTGGAATTACGCATGAAATGAAAAGTGAATTCCCCCTAATACAGAAAACTAATATTTTTTATTTATACAAGTAGTTTAGTTTCTTCATGTACAATTATCATTATCTTATGATTTATTTTAAACAGATTTTAAGTACATGTATTTTAAAATAGGTAGTAAAGGACATTGGAAGATATATATTTTGATAACAAGAGCCTTGAAATAAAAGTGAGAAAACTATAAAAAAGATATGTGCTGAAATATACCCATTAATCGATTGTTAAAATCTCCAATCGATTGTCTAAAATTGACAGCCTTTCTGACTGATCATCGATTATTAATCGATCATCGCGACAACACTATGAAAATATATACAATAAATCCACCATCATCTCATTTTCTTTTCTCACTTGTTCAAATGTGTCATTCTGAGTTTTAATTTAAAGCAAAGATGTGATATATGTATAAGAAAATGTATTAATTTTTAATAAGTAACCCTTATGTCTCATAGTAATTGAGAAAATGAGCTAAATTCAGAACACTAAATGCAAAGATCAAAGTAAGCATTGATATGTACACAGTGAAATCTTTCTACCATGGTCCACCTGGAATACAAAGTTTTCCTTTAATTAACAATATTCAACAACTAAAATTGTGTGAGGGCTGTTAGAGAAGTATGTGGACACAGTGTTCAATATTTGTTATATTATATTCAAGAAATTCAGGAAATATCACGAAAACATATTTATGTTGTGTTGATGGGAGAAGTTTGATTACATGTGATTAAATGGATGTTATCTTACTAACTTCTAAAAAAAAGTGAAAGTAAAAATTTTATTAATATACAGTTTAAATTTCTGTCTACTGAAATTTGATGACAAGAACAAACAAACATCACGCCTGTGAAAATCTACGTCATATTGGCGGCTGATCATGCAGTCCTTCCCTTAGCCTGGTCTTGTGTGAAGACATGTGAGCAATACGAGTGGTCTAAATGCGTAGTTATTTTGGTGAGAAATCACACTCTTAATTCCTTATCATGGTCATAATCTCAGGTTTCAATCCAAATCAAGCTCAAAATATTTTTCATTCATAAAAATTCATGTACCTACATACTTTTACTCTTATTACTACATACCTACGCATTCTTGTTACTTGTTTTTACTTGAATTTTAGCACCAATGCTATGCAGTCAATGAGGTATATTGCTATCAACAATTTCACAACATTTTTTTGTTTTTTTTTCCAAAAATGTGCTAAATACTCAAATCACAGTATTAGAAAAAAACATAGAAATTTCTTTACCAGATTTCCCCCTTGTAATACATATTTCACCCTACCCCACTGCATTTTGAAATCTACAATACCCCAGGATGCTTCGAAGTGCACATAAGTTTCAGCTTTTTTGCCCAGTGGTTTTAAAAATTTTATAATATATTTCTATGTAAAACTTTGATTCCCCATTTTATAAATATATTTAAAATATACACTCCCCAGGATGAAGAAGATTTTTTAATGACAGTGCTTATAAAGGATGTGTGTCACTCCTGGATTTCTTTCTATAATTCTTATAAATCATTCAAACCAACCTAGCAAGTATTCATATAATAAATAAAAACACAAGCTAAACTAGAATACCATACAAGTTGTAATCTAATTTGTGTAACGTAATGGCAAATGTCGGAAATGCAAAGAAAAAATGTCGGAAATGCTGTGCAGATTTCCGGAAATGAAATGCAGCGGACAAACCACACAAGCTATAAATTGACTCAGGATATGTATTGATGCAGGTCACTTACAATGTCCAGTAACATAGATAGATGGCCCAGAAAATAGTTTACTTATAATGTCTAGTAACATTTAATTAAGAAAATGGCCCAATAACTACTTGACTTACAATGTCAAGTAACAAAGATATTTGGTTCATTAACTTCTTGAATTACAATTGTCAAGTAACAAAGATAGTTTGCCCTGTAACTTCTTGAATTACAATTTCCAGTAACATAGATAAATGGCCCAGTATCTTTTTGAATACAATTTCAGAAACATAGATAAATGGCCCAGTAGCTATTCGACTTATAATGTCTGTAACATAAATAGATGGCCCAGAAACTATATTACTTAAAATATCCATTAACAGATAGATGGCCCGGCCCAGTAATTATGCCCAGTAACTTTTTGACTAGCAATGTCCAGTATATGGCCTAGTACCTATCTACTTGACTTATAATGTCTTGTAACATAGGGAGATGACCCTGTAACTACTTGACTTATAATGTCTAGTTACATTACAAAATTGCCCAGTAACTACTTGACTTACAATGTCCTGTAAGGCAGTAACATAGATGGTCCAGTAACTACTTGACTTACAATGTCCAGTAACATTGATAGATGACCCAGTAACTACATGACTTACAATGTCCAGTAACATAGATAGATGGCCCAGTAACTACTTGACTTACAATGTCCAGTAACATTGATAGATGACCCAGTACCTACTTGACTTACAATTTCCAGTAACATTGATAGATGGCCCAGTAACTTTATGACTTACAATGTCCAGTAACATTGATAGATGGCCCAGTAACTACTTGACTTACAATGTCCCTATGACTTACAATGTCTAGTAACATTGATAGATGGCCCAGTAACTTTATGACTTACAATGTCCAGGAACATTGATAGATGGCCCAGTAACTTTATGACTTACAATGTCCAGTAACATTGATAGATGACCCAGTAGCAGTTGTCCCTCTTTTTCGGGTTCCGTGACAGAGAATCGGAAGACGTCCCCCCACTTGTCTGCCACCAGGAGGTTCTGTTCATCTTGTGTGAAGGTTAACTCTGTACATCTCCTAGATACAGCCCTGTCAATAGAACAGGAAACATAACAGAAATTCCTCCCATTCTAAAACTAAATATAATCAAAAGTTAATTTAAAATGAAATTGTCATTTTAGATGGTAAGCATTACACAAATCAAAATAGATTTTACATGTTTATAAGATCATAATAACTATCAGATATTGCAGCTAAATTGAAATTTTCTCACTAAATAACTGTTTTCAAACAATCCCTTTTTTGAGAGTTTACTGGGCACAACATTCACAGTGGTTTAATATCATACCTCTAGTTTGACTTTTTCAGGTAGATTTTACAAAGATTACATTAATATGTGCATTTTATTCAGGGACATTATATTACAATTAACAAAAATCTCTCCTATTTTTTCAAAAGAAATAAACAGTATAACTTTGTTAATGTGTTGAAATTCTGCAATTCAGTATTTAGCGTTTTCATTTCCACAACCTTTCTTAATGTGTCCTGACTAAGGAAATGCAATCAGTCATGTGTGTCTTTATGTTTTCCATGGAATGAAATGGGAAGAACGACCTTAATTCATCACTTGTGAGAAAACCTAATCAAAAAATATCACAAATTAAAGTAATCATACAACTATTACCTTGTTTTGCAGTGCTGCTGAAAATGGTACAGGTATTAAATCGAGGCAGCTTTTTGAATCGTGCATAGTTATGAAAAACACTTGACATTAATTGAACATTTGAAAAATTTTCATTGCTGAAGTAATCTTACTTCTAACGTGCATAGGAGTTGTAACGGAAATTAACAAGATGGCAACAATTTACGTGAGAATAATTTGGCAGGTCTTCATAGTGTATACTTTCAATGAGAAAATATAATTAACAGAATTTTTAAAGTTTGCACTAAATTCCATGGAAATCTAAGCATTTAAAAAGGGGGTAATTTTGCCGGCCCATTAAAAAGTCTTTTGGTTTATAAGCATCAAATGAGCTAGAACCAGCCATTTTAGTTAATTTTTACAACTCTGCTGTATAAAGTTAGACCACAAAGTAGCAAGCCCTCTCTTTCATCATAGAAATGATTACGCTGACTTCTTACACTACTTAAAAGGGCAAAAATGGGCAAAACTTTCATTGTGACAAATTTATGACAAAAAAGCATCCTTTTTACATCCTGTTAAATGTCCCCCAACTTTAAGGCATAATAGGCGAGACCAAATTAGTCCTAATTCCTGGGTGGTTGGAGTAAATTGGAATATAATCAGGTTGTAAATGGAGTCCTTAAATCTTTCCGTCAACTAGTTCCCTTTGCTCTGACAGGTCAAATTGGCAGAGAAATACGCAATTAACACTAATGAGGTAGTTGGTGGGTCTGATTAAGTTATCTGAAGGTAGATTTGTTTGAAATATGATAAATGAATGTTTTTCAGGAGATCAGTAATGCCTCATCTCTTGCACATTTAGAAGATAACAACTCCCAAATAATGCACAACCTTGCACAATTTTCTAAAGGTGCTTTGAATAAAATAACTTCCTATGTGGTACAGTATGCAGTAACACACAATACAAAAAAATGGCAAGAATTTAGCAATCTTAATAACATCGATCGTAAATTTGACATATACTTTATGAAATATTTTTAACATATTGTTTTTAAATCCTTTTTTTTTTTTTTTTTTTTTACATGTCCTTCTTAAATGAACAATTGTCATTATTAAGTTTCAAATGAATTCCTCTCTAATTGCATCTTAATCAACATTGGCACTATGTTAATGAAAATCAACCAGGTCTAAGCATCAAAGTAAAGGATTCTATTCCCTCCTCTCCACCCTACCTCAACCCCTTATTTTTCAGTTAAATTTCGTTTGGACATGTCCCTCTAGTACAAAATTATCATTAGCAATAAAGTAGAATAAAAAGTCTTAAACCAATTCTGAGAGAAAATTGTAAATACATGTAGCTTATTCTCCTAAAATTTACCTTTAACAAAAGAATTAAAGACCATGCTTTTGCCCCTTGTAATTAAAACATGAAAAGACTCTCGTTTTACACTACAACACAACTCCATGAAATTGCTTAGTTTTCACATTAAAATGTTCACAGAAAAAGTTCAAATTGTAATCATTTTAGTTGGCATTTAGCCAAGGACCATTTTTAAAAATGTCTTTAATTCTCAATTTCATGTACCTTAATACAATGAAGCGCATTGAAGTGGTAAAATTTTCCGTTTGGACAAAACGTTCTGAGTCATGTTTTGAACGTCAAGGCACGCCCATATTTTCAAAACGAGAAAGAAATCTTCGTCGTAATGTTTTAGGACACCCCAATCTTCGCGAAAATATAGTTACACTGAAATGATAATTTATGTATTCTGTAAAACACAAATTGCAACGAATATGTACATATATATAATTGAAGTTACCACAACACATGTTTACACGTACTTTTTAATAATTTCATTAGCTATTATATTTAAAACCTGAGGTATTCGAACATTGACCGTTTTATCCATTTCTAAAGAAATGGGCGTGTTATAAGATGACAATAAACGTTCTAAAGATAGCTCAAAACGTTCCATTCGAACGGAAAATTTTACCACTTCAATGCGCTTCATTGTACCAACACTTATGCGTAGGTCACATTTAAGCCGATGGTCAAACTGGTCTTGTCGGCTAGGTTAAAACATCACATTTTTTCCTAAGGACACTTTTGGATAAATAACACAAAAAATCTTTTTTCTTTAGAAATTGTCTATATTCAGATATGTGACGTGAGTAATGTTTGCAAGGTAAAGTGGCAGAATCTTATAAAATTGTGACTCAATGTTGAAAATGTGTGTAAAATTTGTATGGAATTCCATAAAAACAACAAATGGTGCATATCTAAGTAGCAAAGAATACTTAAGATTTCTTTATATCTTACGGATTAATTATTTATGATATCTCCGTTCAAAAAATTTATATCAATCCATGCATCAAAATTTTGTATGTGTTATGTATCCTTAATAGGTTAAATATTTAAAAGTCGGCGTCGCCCGATCATCGAGCTATATACAGTTTGATTTTCCGTCATTTTCAAACCCTTATGTTCCACGGACGACCGAAAAAACTGACAGCCGATGGTCGGACGATGATGGTCGACGGATAACTGCGCTTAAGAAATCGGCCACCGACGCATGAAAAATTATAACTTGCACCGATGGACACAAAATTGGTCGGCCGACAAAAAAATAGGTCAAAATCAGCCAAGACAACGGCCGATGAACTCATGTACCTTAAAACCCGTCGGCCGTTGGTCGTTTTTTGAAATGTGACTGGGGTTTTAGTGTAACTCACTTCCAATTCAATTTCACATAAAAGTATACAGCAGTGACATTAATTTTTCAATAAATATGGCTTCAGAATTTATATTAACATAACAGCAAGTTAAAGAACCTGTGAAGCCTCTGATATGAAAAAACATGTAAAATGGTTACTGATGATTACTTGTAAATTTTCCAATTTTAGGGAATTTTCTGGGAATTTTCAGCAAGTAACGATTTAGCTTTTATCAATGGAATACTAGTACATGTATTGAAAGATCAATTTTTGTTCTCTATAAATTTAAATTCACTACAATGAAGGTGCATACTTGTAAGTTGTAACTGAAATTCTATAGTATATTATAACACACACCTACAGTAAATTATACCATGAAACAAATGCAGACTTAATTGTCTCCATGCAAACTGGAACTTTAGATCTAAATGACATATAGGGTGTAGAAAAATTTCAATTGTAACAACTTTCTAATTAACAAATTTCCAAATTATCATTGATCCAAAATATAAAAAATTCAAAAGGTCAGAAAAAGCATTTATGAAATAGAATGCTTGCTTATAAGTTTATTTACATCAGGGGAAAAAAGATGGTTAGAGTCATTGCCATTTCTGAGTTCTACATCCTCTAGCTATCTATGTCTTCAGTCCATTTCTACCATCTGCCTTCTCTCTACGACAATGAGCTGGAATGATTGTCCAGAGACTGGAGATTGTGTAATAACAAATGACCCATTATATTCCCACACCATTGTACAACGGTCTCATTAAGCATATATTTACTCTGTCTTTTATAGGCCCCCCATTTACCGATGATTGTTCTGTGGAGTTCCATTAGCCGCGGAACACTTTGGGGAGGCTGCTGGAGAAGACAAATTCCATTACACCTGTGAAACAATTAAGTCATCCTGTCACTTAAAATTAACACAAAAACGGCTACAAAGCTTTTGGCACGGAAAGAAAACTTCAGGCTTTCATGACAACAAATGTTAATAAAATTTAGATATTATAATTTTGTTGATTTGGAGATAGACACAAGGCTCTGCAAAAAGTTTTAAGAGGAATTTAATTCTTCTGCAACAATACAGTTTATAAACTTTGGCTATTAAAAAAATGATTTTTCTTAACAACTGTGCACTCACAATTGGTTTTTTTTTTAATTGCGAGGAGAATAAATCCTTAATTTATTTGAAACTTTGAGAGAAAGTGACCACAATCATGTACATGTAGTTCATAATAAATAACAATCCTTTAATGAAGATCACTGTACGCGTGATACTGAAGTAGCTTCTCAATGGTATTTTATTTTGTATTGTTTCATAATTGTGTCAAATGAATACATCACCCATATTTATAACATACATGTAGTTATAAAACATAGCTATAACAATATCCTGCTGACATAAAACATAATTTGGCTGTTGTTCTTAGAATTTCAATAATTTTTTTACATTTAGGACACTAGTAGTAGAAAATTTTTAAGTTGAAAATTAGAAGTGAGATATCTGTCAAGTTTCGCCCGGCGGCAACAAAGTTCAGAAAAAGCTATTTTTAGCACAAGGTCATTGACCCTGGTGTCATTTGAAAGAACCTGATTAGTGGAGTATGCATACCTAATACGAAGTCTCTATCATTCATGGTTCTAAAGTTATGGCGAAGTTTAAAGTTTGCAGAAACCAGAAGTCTCTGTCGAGACTGAAGCTCTACTGGTTTGAACTTATAGCAAAGGA